TATCATTTAGACAATAGTTTCTTACTATAATCTTTACCTGTTAAGCTTCTTCGGCAGTGCCTTGTACACTCTCTCCTGCATGCCCACCAGAGATCGTGTAATGCCTTTCAAATGCTCTTCCTTTTTCTTATTCACTTTCAAGGGAAATTCCAGTTCCTTTGGATCCAATTTTCCTCGTACCTTCATTGTTTCACCAAAACACTCAACCTCCTGCTTCTTATTTGCAAGGGTCCAGTTGACATCATGTTTACATAAACATTGTTTCTCTCTAAAGCAGTTGTCTAGCTCAGCCTTGGCATTAATCGGGCCCTGAGTGTTTACATACAGTTTAGTAGAGGAAGGTAGCTCTAGATTTTTTACAGTTTCCGACGAAACTATGACGGGGTTTGGATGAGATTTAATAATCATATTTTGTGTTGCCGGTTTGTAGGCATTTAAGGGTGGATCAGGAATTTGGCAGAATGGAAAAGTTTGTAAGTGTTCCATGTAGGATGGTCCTGAATTGTGAAGAATAAAGGAAAAATTTAATAGAATTTCAATATAGTCTTTAGTTGCCACTCTTCAGACTAGCATCTAATTGTAATCTACAATATTACTCATTAAAAAAGCGAATAGACATACAATTAAATAATTTTATATCTGGGTTGCTTTTAGAAGCCAATTAACTCACTAATTAATATCAACATTAAACATAATTTAACTACGCTTGATTAGTTCGGTCATCTTTGTTTACGAGATGGAAAATATTTTTCTCTTTCTAACTGCCCGTCTAACAGTAAAATTGGATATTTATTTAGCTGCTCTTACATCACAAATGTAAAGTAATATCCAGCCGAATAAACTCTATTTTGAATAAATAATATCATAAATTAATCAAAATGATCATTAATCCAAGTTATGGAGAGATAAAGATAAGATATTTTAATGACTTTTCCTTCATAACTAGTTTTTTTACATCGCTCATCTCATTAAGCAGTCACTTCTTAACACCACTCGGATCATGACTCAACTGATCCAAATAAATGAGCCTAGCAACTGGATTATGCTTACTATTGCAGAGGACGTTAGACGAAATGCCATTCTTGCTAGTGAGAGTTGACTTAATATTATGCGTGTTTTAATGGTAGAAATATGATCCAGAAAATTGATAGCTAATCAGTTCAATTCTAAAATAATGCTGTTTGTTAGAAATAGAAGTTGGATCTTTCTATATAATTTTGTTGATGCCTTTTATCATTTTATATTGAAGAAATTTGTCGCAGTATCCTAGAAGGATCCGATTTTTATAATATTGCAAGTAATTCGTCAAGCAATTCATCAAAAGGCGTTCCTTTTAAGTGAACTTTTTCCTGCTTTTATGCCGCCAATTGATTACGATCCCTTGTTTCATATCAAAATGTATCCATAGTTATTCTAACTGTGCACAAAGTTAAACTTAATCGTGATACGTGGAAGATTTGTGTTTATGCTAGATCTTTTTCTGCATATATCTTTACAAAGTATCGCTTCAAACAATAACGTTTATAGCATAATTGAACGAAACTAGAAAGCCCTCTGCTGAAATTACTACACTCTTAAAGCAACACTCGCTTGATGTTGCTTTCTTATAATTGATTTAACTAAATCAACTACAGATTTTCTAGAAATATTGATGGCAAAATATATCATGACTTTATTTCCGTAAAGTAAATTTTGTTTAATTATAATAATAAGCAATAAATATTGCGTTTGTTTGCTATCTTCACACAAATGACACATTTTAACGACTAACACAACTTTTGATAAGTGAGTTAGTTAATAATGCTCAAGTGTATCATCGAATCCTCCTACCTGTTGCTGCCAGTCCTGAAATGCTGTGCAAATGATTCGGCTTCGCTGTTGGCTTGCGCTCATTATTTTTATTAGGCATTGTGGGCTGCTCCATTGTAATAGATTTCACTTCCGTTCTGGCTCCTGAATTGGTATTCATTCTGGAAGGGGAGACCGACTTGCCTACCTGAGGCGACTGAATTTCAAATAGACGCCAGGATTTTTATGCGTTGAGAAGGTCAAAAAGAGACATTTTTAAAATAGAACATAAAGGCCAAAAGGGAAATATCATATTTTATTATAATCTTGAGCTGAGTACAAAAAATATGGATTATAGAATCTAAAGCCCTGTGTGCCTGCGATCTTTACGAACCCACGTATATTAAATTCCCTTTAATAATTACAGAAGGCAGAATTAGAAAAATAATGCTCTAATTAAGCAAACCTTAATCAACGTCCTGGTAGAATGCTACTTTTATGTTTGGCTCCAGCAACTTCGAAGACAAACCTAAGCCCCACATTAAGTGTCCACCTCAAATGAATAAACTGTTGAAGCTTTAATTCATTTTTAGACTATAGTAAATTACTAACAGTTTTCCCCAAAAAAAAGCTTTATTTGTAATACATCAATTCATTATGAGACAGGAAATTACGCCAACCTAATTACCTCACAGAAATATCATGAAATAGAGAAATAGGTCTTCTTTGATTTAAAACATAGTTGTTAAGCCGACCAAGCGCATTAGCAGTGTTTAAGCCTAGTCCGTTGGAAACAGTGTGGGACTCATAACTTTGAGATTTGAGGTCTCGATGTGTGTTGCTAAAGCATGCACCACTGTGGCAGACCGATGGATATTTAAGACTTGATTTTGTTTGGTTGAACGGAATAATTAATGGAAGAAAAGTAAGTAACGGTATTATGCACTTTGGCAAAACTAAAATTGACTCTTTTGTACACTTTAGGTGTTTTCACAAGAAAAAAATTTATTTAATTCCATAGCCTATCTATACATTGTGGGAAAATTCTACTGCCAGTGCTTCATCACTTTAGACGAAATAGGGTGAATACATATCAGTACACTGATTTACTGGTAGTCTCGAAACCCTACTATAATACGAATATCTATACATAATTGCAAAGTATTCCGAATTGCAATTTGCCTCAACGATATATAAAAACTGCTAACATTAACATATTCTTTGTCGCTGTGAACAACAGAAAATCATTTAGATATTGATATGGTACTTGATAAAATACTCTTTGTGGAAGAGGGTAATAGCATTATGAAGTATTGTACTTCTTGCCTATTCTTATCATATTTCATCCGTCAACAGCAGTTTTTTATACGACTTTGATGCACCATTTAATAAAAGCACCTAATAAAGTGTCTTTTCTGGTTCATACTAATATGAATAACAAAAGTATAAGCAAATTATATATCATAAAAATGCTATTGTAGTTAAAAGCAAAGTGGTAGAACATTAATTTCGAATATAACCACAAGCATCTATAAATTACTAAAATTAGTTCTAGTAGTAATATCTAAAAATTCGTCCAAATTTTGTACACTTCAAGACGATTTTTATCCGTTGAGAAGGTCAAAATGGAGATTTTCAAAATAGAACATAAAGGCCAAATGAAAAATGTCATATTTTATTATATTCAAAAAATATGAATT